ATATATGATGCATGGATGATACTCACTGGCAGATCTCTATTAATACAAGAAAATTACTAAATGTTGATTTAATGTAAAAGGGACATAGTTAGAAGAAACCTTTTGGTGAGAGCCACCATTTTCCAAAAATTTGCCAAAATTGCAAACCCAAAGGGGAAAAGGAGAGATGCTTGATATGTGTTTTCTAGGCCTTGTAGGAAAAAATGGAGTTGTTCCTTTGGCCACATTGCTCTGATTTATGAGAAAGGAGACATGGTAAATCTCAGGAGAATGTAGCTATTGTAAAAGGATGTCCTAAAACTGGAAGGACTGTAAACAAACATGATAAGGACAAGATCCTTGCCAAGAAAATTCATTTGTGTAGTAAGCATATCCAACACTCTGAGAGCCAAGAAAGTCATGAAGAAAAATGATCAAAGAAAAAGGGAAGCCAAAGAGAAAATTCCTTGGGTTCAACCTGAAACCCTAGTCTGCTCAAAAGCAACTTGGTAAGAACCAACAGAAAGGAGCCTGAATTCTTGACATAATCAGTATAGAAAAATTAAAAACCTCTCAACTGTAAGAAAAAAATAAAATAAATTAAAAATATGTTCAGCAGATTAGAATTGTTTTCTTTGTTTTTATTTCCTTTAATTTAATTTGAAGAAGGTTTTCGATAGCACATTATTTTTATGCTAAGTTAAATTGAGGGCACCAGAACTCTGATTGTAGTTCAATATTCAAATAGCTGGCTTTTCTTGGGGGGAAGAAAGGCTCAATTTGACTTAACAATTCCATTTTATTGGAGGTGCATGGTAAGCTTCATTTTCAACTCAGACTCAAGAAACTGACTTAGTTAATTGGGACAATTAAGATTCACCAAGGGGATAATTGCCCCTCTCATTTTGCTTTGAGAGAGTAGAGAGTGATTTATCTCTGAAAATAAGAGCCCAGGGGCCTGTAAGGAGACAGAATGAGAAAATTTTGGTTAAAGTGGAACACTAGGAAACTTTTGTTGCAACTCAACTGAAGAAATGATAAAAGGCTTTTAGCATCTCTCCTTAGCAAACTCCATGTCAGCTTCTACCTTCGGGTCAATGTCTAAAACACACAACACACACACACACACACACACACACACACACACACACACACACACCTCAAAAAGAACTAGAAAATCTCACACTAATTTCAGTGGGATCATAATGCCATCATTGAAATCAATAGTTTCCCCAGAAAACCTTCTGGTTCTGGTCTATGTGGTGGAACTGGAGGAAATTTTAAACCACTCTAAAAAATCAGCTAACTCAGCCTGTATCAGCTATATGGATTGCAAACATAATTGCAGGGATCTAATTTTAAAATGTCACATTTGAATACACTGATGCTTTGATAAGTGTAAATGTAATATATCTCTAATGGCTCAAACCTATGAATATATTTGAGCATATAAACTTAAAATCTGTTGCTTATCCTATTTCAGTGTATCATATTTTGTTTATTGTTTTAGTGACAGTCTCCTAAATTTTTTCAAGATAGGAAATCATGTGAACCTGGAAAAGATGAGAAATCTACTGTACACCCAGTCGTCTTTATTTGTTGTGTCTATATGACACAAAAGTACAAAATTTCGTCAGATATTCCACTACTTTGTCAGTACAAGGCCACTCATCTGGCTATGGTATCTTCCCATATAACACTGTTCTTCCCATAAGATATACAGTATTTTTGCTTGCTAAGAATAAAAGCTTATTTTAATCTTTCATTTTCAAAACATTTGAATGCCCTCTAGACTTTTCTTCTGGGATCAATTTCAATTATTTTAGAAAATTATGAGCCATACTACAGCTGAGTTAATATTCCATCAAAATAATTTAAGTAGGAAACAAAAATAGTTTTTCCTATGATCTCTGCAAGTGCTCTATGCACACTGTAACTTTGCAAGATTGGCATAAACATTCAGCAAATGTTTATTTACCATAATCTGCTGTCTAGTTCTGCCCTTGATTTGAGCAGAAATATGGAAGATCCACTGTGTCAAGGTAGGAAAAATGATGTGAGTATGGAAGGAAAATTAGATCTAATATAAAAGAGTAAAGAAAGTGTGAAATTGGAAAAAGCAACATTTCTGCAGCTCATTTCTCCTGCCAAATCATCTGTCCAATGAAAGACCTTCAAGTGAACCCTGTGAAGATCTACAAGTAGGTGAATGTCTTAGTCTTTCCAAAAGAATGGCTCATCTCCAGAGATTTCAATCCTTAGATCTTTATTCATCAAACAATTGATGCATAAAATGAAACTTTATTACTAAACCTTGGTCAGTCTATCATACCTTTCCTATAATTTAAGCATCACTTAGAATTTAATAAACACTAATAATGTAATAAGTGTCCCTGTTGGCATATGGCACCACACCACAATTTCTTTTGCAGATATTCCTTGCAAAATTACTAATCTAGAGCCACTAGATTGATCAAATTGGTTTGACCTTTTCTCTTGCCACAGAGGAACACATGATTCTTTGGTTTATCTTATGATACTATGTAAAGTATTCAACCACCAGAGAGGAAAACTGGAGTGTCATTAAAATCCTGGCTCCAGGGCCAGGGATTTAGCTCAGTGGTGCCACCACCTGCCTCACAAGCACAAGGTCCTGAGTTCAATTCCTGGTACCAAAAACCAACAACAATAAAACCCTGGCTCTAATGTAAAGCTAAAATGACAGCCATTTGTGTCTTTTAAAACAGCAGGGAATAAATTGGCCTTAAATTCTTAGGTCAAATATATAGATATATATATATAGATAATCTATAGATATAGGTTCTCAGATCATATATATATATATATACATATATATATATGTATATATATATGTATATATATATATATATATATATATATCACCAAAAATCAACTTTCTGGTTGTCATTCCTAACATATCAGCCCAATTTAATTTATCATAATATATAGTTTGTGTCCCTGAATAAATGATATACAATAAAGATGGAGAATGTGGCAGTTAGAAACTCACAGGAAGGTCACCAAAAAGAGACACAGTGCAGGTGCTGGCTCCACAGGGTCTATCCATGAGGATGGTGTGGGGGTGAAGCGCAGATGGAGAAGGGAAACATGAGAGGGTTGCCTATGGTTTCTTATCTCTCAAGTGTATTCCTTTCTGCCCTAAAGTCATGTACCAAAATTATTCCAGAAGTATTCCTTTCTTCCCTAAACTCTAAAAGTAACCTGGAATGAAATTATCCCATGAATATTGTTTTAAATCATCAAAGTGGAAATGTTAGAATTGGGCAGCACTTGTAGATTTTAAATATTGCATTCTTAATTTCCTTTAAAGGCATGATTTAGTGATAACTACCAAAATTATTCTGAAACGGGTTCATATCATCCTTTCAAACATCTCAACATGCCCTGAAATTTTTGAGGAAAAAGTTTAAGCTTTCTGCCTCTGATTTAAGCAGCTATCCTTGAATTGCTTTCAATTGCTTTACAATCATTGATAAAAACCAGTCTTAAAACTCAAGTATATTTATTGTACCTGTTGTCAAAGCTCTAATAAGCATATTGCCAAACAGCCTATTTAAATATGAAGTTTGAAAAGATTATTTTCACTTTTCACCTTCTGATCAATAAAGTAATTTATAGCAAGAAGTGATTATATTAGCATGAGTGTGATCTTCCAGTGGTACCCTAAGTCCTTAGAACGCTCCTATTTCCACACCATTTTTTTTTGAACTCAGGTCGTTGTGCTTGCAAGGCAAGCACTGGAACCACTGAGCCAAATGCCCAACCCTCCATGTCATTCTTTGCTACTCTCACCTATGTTTTAAGGCCTTAACATCTCTTTAAAAATTCTCCTCCTTCTTCTGAGGAAAAGTTAAATTTAGCCTGCCATGAAGATTAGGATTTTCTTTCCTGTATCCACAGAACCCTTTGGAACAACGTGATGTCATCTATATGAAACTAGGGATCTGGGGAGAACCAAGTATTTTTGCATTAAATTATGTTTTAATTGTGTTTGAAAATGATTGATTTTTGCAAACACTTTAGCAACTACAACTTCTATACTCCAGGATTATATGATTTATTTCCAGCTGGCATGGCTTATTAATTAGAGTGAAAAGATTGCTGCCAGACATAGCAATTATTTAAGTATATCCAACACAAGTCAGATGCTCTGGGAGAAAAAGATCAACATTACAGAGCATTGACCATGGCTGAATCATTCAAGTTGCACTTTACACTCTCATTGTAATTACTTCTCACAATAACCCTGTGAGACAGACATTTGCCTCCATCTTATTGGCCAGAAACTGAGAATCAAGAAAGTTAAATAGCTTCTTCCAGATCTGGCACCTAGTAGATGGTAGTTAGTATTGTTACTCAGGTGTGCCTGACTCTGAAAACTTGGGCTGTACATATAAGGCTGTCAAAATAAAATGGGATTAAACACATGGGTTCTGTGCCTAATGTGATGCAATTTTTGAAAGATAATGTTCAATTTTTGAAATAATAGGAAATAAATTTCTTCTAAAATATTTTAATTCATTCTTTCAAGGTTAGTTTAGAAATATCAGAAAATAATGTTGAAGAGATATAATATCAAGCTATAATTCTGTTTCTCCTAGGTAAAAAAAAATTTTTTTTTGAGACAGGGTCTCACTATGTAGTTGAGACTGACCTGGAACTCACTATGTAGGCCAGGCTGGTCTCACACTCACAGCAATCCTCCTGCCTCAGCCTCCCAAGTGCTGGGATTACAGCACCATGCCCAGCTTCAAATTTTTAAAATGTGTAAGTATTTACACATACAAGTTTATACATCTATAAACATACTATATTCGTAAGTACTTAAGTATCTTAAGTATTATCGTAAATGTTCTAGCTGTGGGAAATGCAAGCTGTCTATTGTCATTTCCTCTTGGGTACCTAAAGCACTAAAATTTGGAGCCACCATTGCAATGACAGAGTTATTATCAGTAGAAGATGAAGGTGAGTACCTCATTTCCAGGTGTAGAGGATGACATCCAGTGTACCCTTAGAAGCTACGTGTTGAAGATAGTCTCTGTGGGCCTGGATCCACAAATAATTGTGTGGGTCAGAGCAAAGTATCCTCCAATGCACCACCATCTTGTAAGAAAGAGACAAACATCTACTGTATGAGCTACAGTGATTGGACATCCCACTAACCACAGAATAGTCCCAATTTATACCTTTTGTTTCCATATATTAAAAGTTCACTGTTACATTCTCACAAGTGCTCTAGTTTGAACAATGAATATAGTGTCTGCAGTATTAGGCTACAGAGATTCATAGATGATGACAAATAACAACACTTTACTAAGACATTGGGTTTTATTCATTTTATACTATTTATTTTGTTTAGAACAATGGCTAAGCAGGCTATAATGCTGAAAGTTTAAAAGAAGAACAAACACACACACAACAAATTGTAGTGCCTGTGGTTTATTATGCATATTTGAAACTCTGAACCCATGTTTCTAATATCTATTTCAATATGCCCTCAGTAAACAATGTGACAGAAAGCAAACATATGTATAATTTACTGCCTGGCAAACATAAGCCTAGGTTTAGTATCTGGAATGTACTAATACTCAGCTAAAAATTTGTTGCTGATACTATTATTATTGTTTCTACTAATTTTCTATTTTATTCTATTACTGTTTATAATGGACTGCTAATGAATAACTATAATATTTCAAAAATAGTAATGCGTTAATATTTAATAAGTGTTGAATGTGTTATCTAAGTAATCCAATGTCTAAATCTATCCCCTTCATTGAAAATGAGAAGTCTATGATTCAAACTAGTTTGTGCATAGAAAAGGACTTATTAATACAAGTAACTGAGGCTTCTAGAAAGAGATCTTCCATAGGCAATACCGCACAAAGACTCGGTGTGTTTACAGTGAGGTCTGTCTTTCTCTCTACCTTCTAACCGTCCTGCTGCTGTGTGCTGACCTCATCGTGTGGAGTTATTGTTTGCACAAGACCACAGAGATAACCCCATGAATCTAGATCACATCTGCACAGTTCAGCATTCCCAACATAGCAAGAGTATTGTCCTTGACAGTTCCAGGAACAAAGTCTCACTTCAGAGACAGGAAGGGAATGCTCCAAGTCACTGTTCCCAACACTCTGGCACATTGTTAAATTGTCTTTGTGCCATGAAGATGAACTACTGTGGTGGCCAGCTTGATTTGGTCTCCACTCTTGGAGTGGTCTGGTTGTAATTAGGATACATGAAGCTACATAGTGCCAAGAGAGTCACATGAGTCGGAGGCAGGTAGGTCCTGAAGGGAGGCAAAGATGAGCAGACAGAAAAAGCTACAATGTATCTCCACAGGTAGACATGTACTCACCCATACTTGAGATAGATATAGCCAAAGACCCTTATCCAAAAATGATTATTACATTATTATGTATGTCGGTAAAAGTTCATGATAAATTTTTTTCTTTTTTTAATTCATTAAGTTTATTGATATATTTTAGGTATATGATGTGATGACATTCATTGTGGGGAATTTGTATCACTATATGATATATCTTGATTCGCATTTTTCCCCATTCCCCTGCCCTCCCTTCAACCCCTCTACTCCTCCCTATTTACAAAGACTGTTTCAATTCTTTTCATTTTCTCATATTTATTCCTTTTCCTTCTTTCCATTCCCCTATCTTTCCCAATTCCTCTATCCCTTTGCACCTTTTCTTCCTGTTTGACATTATCTATTATACATTTTGATCCTAATTTACACTTTCAGTTTCTCACACCAGAGAAACTTTACAATATTGACACCTGTGCCCTATTTATTTCATTTAAGAGTATGATCTTAATGTGCATCCATTTAGCTATAAGTGTCTTTAGTTTCTCATTCTTTTTGGTTGAGTAGTACTACATTTTATTTTTTAAAATCTTCTTTAGTCTCCAGTTGATGGGCACTTGGGCTGTTTCCAAGTTTTAGCTATTACAAGCTGTGCCACTGAAAATGCGAGGGCAAATATACTGCTGTGGTATGATTCAATTAATTCATTTGAGAAGATAGCATTTCTTGATTTCTTGATAGCAGACATTCTTTTGGGAGTGAGGTGGAATCTCAGCAATGTTTTCAGTGGCATTTCTCCAGTGACCAGTGATGTTGAATATTTCTTCATATGTTTATTTGCTGTTTCTACTTATTTGTCTGAGAAATGTCTGTTTATTTCAGATGCCCATTTTTAAATTGGATCTTTATATTTGGGGAGTCTCATTTTTAAAAGTTCTTTATATATTCTAGATAGTAGACCTCTGTCTGAGGAACAGCTGGTAAAAATTTTTCTCACATTGTGTGTGTTTCAAGCTGTTGGTGGTTTTTTTCACTGTGCAGAGCTTTTTAATGAGAAGCTTTTTAATAAGAATCAAATTGTTGAGTGACTGAAGTTTTGCTCATGAAAACTTTTCCTATGCCAATGTCTTCAAGAGTTCTACCTAACCTCTTCCAAGCCAGTTTAGCATTTCTGTTTTAATATTTGATCCATTTCAATTTTAATTTAGTGCATGGTAAGAGATATAGGACTAGTTTTAATCTTTGGCAAGTTGAAACCCAGTGTTTCCAGAACCATTTATTAAAGAAGCTATCTTTCCTCCAGTGAGGGTACTTATCTCCTTTGTCAAAGATGAGGTAGATGAGCGTGTCTAGAGTTGTTTCTGCATCTTCTAATCTGTTTCACTGGTCCCCAGATCTCTTTCATTGCCAGTAAGTCTGTTGTTTGTGTAGAGAAAAGCTATTGATTTTTGTGTGTTGACCTTGTATCCAGCTACTCTACTGAATTTACCTATTAAGTCTAAAAGACTTTTGGTGGAATCTTGGGGTCTTCAATAGAGTACCATGTCACCTGAAAATAATGACAATTTAAATTCTTTGTTTCTTATCTTTATTTCTTTCCTTTGTCTAATTGCTGTGGCTAATGTTTCTGAAACTATATTGAACAGGAGTGGTGGCAGTGGACATCCTTATCTTATTCCTGATTTTAGCACAAAGGATTTCAGTTTTTGACCATTTAGTATTTCGTTGGCTGCTGGTTTTTCATAGACGGCTTTTATCAGGTTAAGATAAGACCATCTACTCCAATTTTCTATAGGGTTTCTATCATGAATGGGTGTTGGTTTTATCAAACAATTTTTCTGCATCTATTGAGATAACCCTGTGGTTTTAGTCCTTCACTCGGTTAATACAGTGTATTACATTTATTGATTTGCATATGTTGAACCATCCTGGAATGAATCCCACTTGGCCAGGGTATACAATCTTCTGGATGATCTTCTGCATTCTGTTTGCCAGTATCTTACTGAGGATTTTTGCATCTATGTTCATTAATGAGATTGGCCTATAGTTTTCTTTTTCAGATGGGTATTTCTCTGCTTTTGGGATCAAGGCGATGCTTGCTTCCAGGAACAAATTTGGGAGTATTGCTTCCCTTTCAATTTCACTGAAGAGTTTAAACAGTAGTATCAATAGTTCTTCTACAAATATCTTGTAGAATTCAGCAGTGAAGCCATCAGAACCCAGGCTTTTCTTCATTGGTTAGTTTTTAATTACATTTTCAATTTTGTTGATTGATATTGGGTTGTTTAGAATTTTTAGGTCTTACTTGCTCAATTTTGGTAATTCATATGTATCTAGAAATCTATTTCTTCTGTGTTTTCCATCTTATTAGTATATAGGTTTTTTTTTTTTTTTTTAA